TATATATATATATATATATATATATATATATATATATATATATATATATATATATATATATATAATACGGATTGGGCTATACATAAGAGCAAAATACATACATGATAAAATACAATAATTATAAACCATACACTAACAGAATTGATTTGTGTCTAATGGGGCCACCTAAAAAACTTTTTGGATGTTGGTAAATTTAAAACAATAAACATGTTTTGTAGTATGAACAATGCATAAATTATGTATAGCATTTTGGATAGTTAGATATCTTTCCAATATATTATTATTTACATTTTGGAACAAATTCTACTTTCACTTCGTATTTTTAAATACAGACTGTGTTACCGGTTTATCTCTTCAAAGATAAAGAAGTAAAATTTTTGAATGGCTCCATTAAAAAAAATGTTACCAATTATTTTATGTTTATAAAAAACGAAAAGAATAAAAGACTAGGGGTGACAATCTCAACCCCAATCCGAACCCAACTCAATAAATCATAGGTTGGATTGAGATTTTGAATTCATTTAATTATTTAATTAAATGATCAACCCTCCTAACACATTTAATTAAATAGGTTGGGTTATGGTTGAAATTCATAATCCATTTACAACCCGTCAATCCGTTAAAAAATTTTAAATATTTTTTGATTTATATTTATTTAATATTATTATTTAGTTAATCATTATATTTTGATTATTTTTTATTTATCAAAAACTATTGGTGAGTAACCATTACCAGAATTCAAGTTGGTAAAAGTGATAGTCGAGTTGCGTACAATTTATAAATTAAACATTTATAATGTTTTATGGTTGTAAACACTTATTTGTGTTTGTGTTATGGGTCTATAAAGTCATTGTTGTATAATTTTGAAACTTGAACAATTATTGTGGCCTTTAAATTATGTGTAATTTTATTTGATGGATTATATGATTCTTAAGAGGTTTTTTGTGAAAATTTAAACGGGTCAACACGGGTTAACCTGTTTAGTAAATAAGTTGGGTTGGAAAAGCAGTAAACGGGTCAACCTAATTTCAACCCATTTACTGAAAATGTTGGGTTAGGTTGAGAATTCTCAACTTGTTTACTTAAATAGGTTGGATTAGATAGAGATTTTCGAACACATTTAATTAAACAGATCAACCCATTATTACCCAACCCAGCCCACTGCCATCAGACTATCGATAGCACATGACCATTTCCACTTGTGCTTCCAAAAAAATGTTCTAAGTTCTAAATTTTTGTATTGTATCTTCTTTCTAGGCGCCTTTCACTTTCTTTCTCTAGAGCCCATTAGGGTGAAGAGTCAACAATCATAGTTTAGTAGCAGTTTGTCTTTCTCATAATAAGCATATGCTTCATTATTTTAATCAAGATGTTTCATACATATATCAAAGATAGCAAAACCACAAAAATGATCTTATGTCTCATCTTGATGACTAGATCCTTGGCTTTTAGGACCAAAATACACCAAAAACAGAAAATTACCTATAAAGCAATCAAATAACTGGGAATTGATTAGCTTATTATATTCACAACTTTCTTTAAAATAATTTGATCGATCGATAAATGAGATTTCATGAACCGGGAATTGATTAGAATTAGAATTTGATCGAAAATAATTTATATAGTCTAATAAATATAAAACAGAAGTATGGGCATTAGACACAATGTTAGTTTGTATCTCTTTGGTATATCATGTTCATGCATAGTGTAGGGTCTTTATTGAATATATATTATCAGTATGTACTATTTAAAGGAATGGAATACATTGAAACCCTGACGAGTATTTTCACAATTCAACATGGTATCAAGCTATGGATTTCGTTCCCTCTTCCCTCTAACGTGATCTCTGAAGTTCCGCTGCATCGGATCATCACCAGTGACAACATTTTTTTTTCCGATTGGTTTCTCCGGCTGTTCAAATTTACCCTTCTGTTGCCCCCCCCCTGCCGTCGACCTGTTGCCGATATGTTGTTGCTGACCTATCTCTCAATTGTCTTGATCGCATCATCTTCAAGGATTTGTAACGTCCCGATTTTCAACCCAAAATTTTCAATTTTTATTAATTCCAAAACGTTCATTTACATCAAGGTATAATTTACATTATGCAGAAACATGATTGTGAATGCACGTGTGTGCAGTCGAACCTTGCCCTTCTTACGAACCAGTGAAGTTCCTGAAAAATATTTATAAACAACTGGGTAAGCACTAAGCTTAGTGAGTTCCTCCAATATATCATATACCATAGTACTTATACATGCATATACATAATGGCACCCGTACTTTAATCGTTCCGCCATAAGATCTACGCGGGTCTATAGGCTCTCATACTTTGTTCGTTCCGCCATCAACCCTAACTACACAGATACGGATCTATAGGCTTCCGTACTTTGTTCGTTATGCCATCAACCCTCACTAACTTTTAAGCATACCAACAATCACACACATAGACACTAAACATTCGGCCCTACAGGCACATAGAAACTACACTATGGGCTCTATTCTATTGGCTCATATATCCTAACATACATGGATATATAGCAGAATATAATATAGTGATATGAACTCACCTGGACAGTTACTCCGAAGATTAACAGCTACCCGGACGATCTCACTGACAAGTAATGTGCCTAACAAGTATTAACCTATAATACTATAACTTATCAGATCCAGGGAATCTGGTAATGTTGGCTAGACCTATCACTAATCCCAATGAATATTGGTAATTCTACCAAGCAGGACAGTTGGGAGGCATTATCATTTCGGCATATAGCTTTTTCTGAAATCCAACAACCAAGCCAACGTGACCATTCTAGACACAACTCCCGTAAGTAGATTAATCAGTATTTTGACTTGGAATTACTGATAAATCTTATTTATAGGTCCATAATAACGACTTGTGACTATAAATATAAGCTACACTGAAAATGAGAGAGTATAGCTTAACTTATAGAGATTTGGGCGAAAATCGGGAAATTGTACTGACAGAATTCCCGATACTGAAACTTTCTAGCCTGTCGGCCACTTAGATACTCCAAAGCCTCGCTAAATTGTCCTAAAACTAAGGGAAAGTCAGACCTCAAAGAAGTAGAGAGATTTGAGAGAGAATGGAGTCAAATGGGTGAGGAATGAACAAGAATCCACAACTATTTATAGGGTCAGAGGAGGTGCGCGTCGCGCACATGAGCCTTGCTGGCTCCTCCATCCTTTCGCCACGTGTGGCAATAAGAATGGGCCACCTCCCCATCTTCTAGAAGGTGACACGTGTCACACTCTTATGGTTCCATGTTCCGCGTTCATAGTTTTCCACACCATCATGTCTCTTGAGGAAGGCGAAGGGCCGACTTGCCACATGGCGCTATCTGGTGCCGTCATGTCATCGGTACGCGACGCGCACTCTGCGCTCTCGGTTTTCCAGATCTTTAAAATGGCGTACGTTCTTCATAAAAGCTCTGTTTTTGACGTTCTTTTTATCCTCGGAAAGCTCTCAACGAGATCTACAACTTTCGTTTAGATCCCAATAGCTAATTCTTAATCTATCAAAAAATTATATTTTTGATAGGCTTAGCCTGTTAGAGATCGCTGCAGAAAGCATATATAACTCCTACATATGTATTTTGTTCTTGATGTTCTTTATATCGACAGATTCCTATTGACGAGATCTTCAAATCTCGTTTAGATTATTTTCCCTAATAATCTACCGTTCTAAAATTCGATTTTTGTGCGCACACTGTTGCGCCGAATCTTAGAAAAATCATAACTTCCTCTAACGAAGTCAGATTTTGACGTTCTTTATATGTATGGATTCGCTTTTCCGATTACTATGACCTCCGTTTAGATTATTTATC